GGTTTGTTTGTGGTGAGAACGTGTTCCCGCCTCGATCTGAACCAACTGCAGTCACATGACACATTGTTTGGGTTAAACATGACCATGTCACAGTCCTGGAGGATTATTAATGTGCACCTCCTCCTGTACTGCCTTAATATGCACATTCAGCACATCCAATGCATCAAAACATTGTTTTCTAGTTGGAGCCGCGCCTCGTTTTCAAACTGTATGGTTTGACTAAAATGAACAATGACAGCAATAATATGATTATTGTTATTTAAGAGGGGAGGCATCTCCATAAGCCTCTAACCTCTCCTGCAGTGTTAAAACTTTTAAAATTCCTACTGTCTTTTTTCTGTACATGTGTATGTGTAAATAACTAAACTAAAATACTCCATTACATTACATTTAAAATCTTAAAGTAAAAGTACAGATGTATCATCAACAAACTGCACATAAAGTATCAAAATTAAAAGGAGTCGTTCTGAAAAAAAAAAAAAGCCTCCAGTGCCTGATTATAATATACTACATTATTAGCTTGTTGATAATGATGCAACAATGTGTAAGCAGCATTTCACTGTGGAGTCAGTTTTAACTAGTCAGAGATGATTAATGAGGTAGTAAAGAAGAAAAATAAAGCTCTACTACACAGATTTGTATTCATTGTTGGACTTCTCTGTAATCTTTGCTTCTTTTTTGTGAAATATCAGATAATTTAACAGCTTTGGACCTCGAACACTTATTTAAAGGAAACCACCTGAGGAGTTTAAAGAGGAAATAACTTTGGGTTGAACTGATAAAAGATCATAGCATCTGAAATGTGACATAGGTGGCAGAATAGACACTGCTTTTGTTGTAAAGGGTCATAAGATAAAAGGTAGAGAATTACTTGTTTTATCTGTAACAATGCACTGTGTTTCATAAGCAATGTTATGTTTAAAACCCTAGTCTGAAAAGTAACTATTAGCTAAAGCTGTCAGTTAAATATAGTGGAGTATGTGGGAAAAAGTATTCTATTTTTAGTGGTAACCTGCATTTATATGACCAGTTTGATTTTCAGGTTAATGTTTGGGAATTATTGTAAGGGAGGAAGAGAAAGAAAATGAACCATGCACTTTATGTGTGGACCAGAGGGTTAGAGCAGAGAGATGAGTGATAAATCTCAATGGTCTCAGCACGAGCCACATTTTCAGATGACAGGGAGTCATTAGGTCTGAATTCCATAAAAAAAAACCCATCTCCTAGTGGAGCTTTAAACACATTCAGAGTGTGTCCCATTTGCCTTGACATTGTTAAACCCACAGAGAGGGTTTCTGATAAGCTTGCTAACTGAACAGCTTGTGCTCACTGTTTAAATTTCAAATGATTGAGATACCGACTGGCTGGTGAATGTTCGGTAAAGTCTGCCGGGAGTGACGGGGGGCAGACAGGGGCAGAAAGATCCTCCAGATGGCTGAGGATCAAGGGGAGCGAGCGGGAGAGAGTGAGTGGTACTGGGACACAGGCCAGGGCTTGATCAACCCTGGCAGGGTCACCTGGGGCACGCAGGATGACATGAGGCTGAAAGCCCTGAAACAACCACAATGATCCCAGAATACATCACAGATTGCATTTGCCCCGTTATGAGCTGATGTTTGTTCACATTAGGCAAAATGTTTGCATGACAATATCTAGTCCAATTCTGAGCGTCCTTGTAAACACAAACAGATTGTGTCAGACATCTGGGACGGAAAATCAATCAGATTTGAAACTGTCAGAGTGAGACCTGAATTTGACATTGAAACATCTTTTTGCCGATTGAAAATCTGACAACAGTGTCAGATACTAAGTGTTAGGTGATGTGCAGAATGACAAGGTGAGCTCTACTCTGAAGACAAGAACAGTTGTGATTTTGAAAATAATATCAGGACTTGAAGAGAAACTAGCAGCATGGCTGTTGGTTACGGATATTAATAATTAAACCTTTAACCATTAACCAACAACAAGAACTTTGACCGATTGTTATCAGTTAAACAGTCAAAAATATATGCTAACTATAATATAATGGCGCTCTGGGGGGGATCATGAGAAAGCAGAGTCTGCTGTTGCTCAGACTGGAGTTGTATTATGCTGCCAGGGCAATGCCATGATGTTCCTCCTGTCGACAACTACAGCACTCCTCAACAAGCTAACCACCCAGAGGCAGAAGAACACACCTATATAAAGCCCAGTTCAGACCGATGACTTGCGACGAGACTTAACTGCTTTAGAACGTTGCAGAGAAAAGATGCAGTGGTGTGAATTGGCCGTCTGAGCTCGACTCAAGCTGGCTAATGTAGTCACCTGCAACTCCGCTGGTGAAATTGCTGGCGGCTGGTTTTAGAACGTAAAGCTTATCACCTGTTTGTACAGCCCATCAGCTTGTAGTGAAGTCCGCTGGACATGTCCAAAATGACCACAGACAGCGTGTTCACTTGCTGCGCCAGGTGCTCTGTCCATGTCGAGCCCTCACGTGTGCCGGTGTCGGATGGTGGGTCGCTGCTGCTGTTCGCTGTATGTGCTTAAAATTTAGGGACATTTCGTCATATAAACACACACACATTCATTGACTGATTAACTGGCAATGGTAATTTATATTATTGTGGTGTATTTATTCTGAATACAGTCCATCTGATTCTCGTTTTGTTTCTGTTTTTCGTTGTTTCATCACTTCTACAAATGCATCTGTAGCCAGTATCTCAATATCACTATCTTCATTCATATTTAAAGAAGCTACAAATTATATTCAGCCACAAAATAAGTCTGAAAAGCTGGAAATCAGAACGAAGGCACAATATGATACACCATTATATCTAATTGCATTGGTGTGAACTGGCAGGTATTCAGAACGTAGCAGAACGGCGCATTGCAAGTAGTTGCCTGTTTCAACTTGTCTCGTAATGAATCTTTGGTCTGAACTGGACTCAAAAGACAATCCCTTCAGTCCAATGGATACCAATCCTCCTCGCTGGTGGAAAAGGATCAGCAAACCTCTGTTGCTGCTGTTACACAGAACGGTCAGTTCTGGTCTGCCCAGTTAGCACAAGCTAACACAGCAACAGCTGCTAACAACAGACACTAAGCTGTTAAACAGTCCCAACAAACTTAAAGCGACAGCGCAGCAGCTCAATTTTGTTGTTAAACCTGTAAAATTAGCCGTGTGACACTAACAATCTACATCTGTCACTCTGTGTGGGTGGGGTGGGTGGATTCAACGTTCCCAGCACTAAGCTCGCACTCCTGCAGCAGTAGTGTCATGACAAACAGAGAAAGAATGAAAGCCGGCAAGAGAAACAGAGACACTATGCACACCCCTACAATGAAATAAGATTTTACCCCTTTTAAATAGTAACTTGTCGATAAGTGGTTAATGAGGGTCGGCAATTAGTCACAAAAACAAAACAAAAAAAATCAAAAACAAAAACAACTACTATGAATATAAAAAATTCTATTAAGAATTATTCGTGGAAAGCTGCACACACATATTGTCTTCACATATTTGTATTGCCAACACATCAAAATTAAATCATGCATTTGACTGACTCCTTCCAAGCCTAGTACCAGAAATGTGAATGTTACCTTAGTCAGTTGATGAGGTAATTCAGCCCCACTTTTATTGACCACAATTTGTTAAAAGGAATTTGATCATTTGACCTTGAAACCAGTCCATGCTCCAGCATACATATGTGGGCTTTTGCGTCCACATGTACTTAACCTCAGATCTCACAGCAACAACAACTCTGCTTGCACTCCCATGATTCTGATTTAAAACCAAAGAAGATATTTGTTGTCAGGGCCGCCAAACAGCCCTCTTGTTGAAATTCGTCTTGCCACCTCAGTGACTTCCTTAAATCAGTTTTAAAAACTTGGATTACTGCAACAATTAGACCCTCTGTGCCACGACACTCTTAACTTGTAATTTCTGCTGTATTTATGTAAGTCTGTTTTGTTTTGGTGAAGCACTTTGCAACACTGTTTTGAAAAAAGCCACACAAATAAAGGTCTTTGTGTCATAATTACTAAAGCTGGAGTGACTCATTTTAGGTTCCCATCCTTTTGAATGTTTTGATTATTCATTTTACAGACACGAAATCCTTGAAATTAAATTAGAAGGCCATAAATAAAGGAACAGTTCATTCCAAGATTAAAAATACATGTTTTTCCTTACGTGTTATTTATCAATCGACTGTTGGTTGAGTTGCCGAGCTATCGGCAGTAGAGATTGGTCTGTTCTTGAATACAATGGAACTAGATGGCACTCGGCTTGTGGTGCTTAAAGCCAAAAAAATACATTTGAGAAACTCAACAGCAATTTCTCTTTCCAGAAATCATGACCCAGTTGCTCAAGATAATTCACAGACCTTTGTGTGAGCAGTTTCATGTAGGAACTATTTTCTTTCTACTGAACTACATCTGCCAACCGTATCACTGCAAAGAAGTAAACTTGCATCTACCACGAGCTCACCTAGCACCACTGAGCTAGCTAACGTTACAGCTAAGCTGAGGAGGACACCATTAATGTTTACATCCCGCCATAAGCATGAGCCTCTCATCCACATAACGATCCACGCTTCAGTCTGCACGGTGACACAGTTGGCAGGTGTTGTTTGGTAGAGAGAAAATAGTTCCTACATGAAACTGCTCACAACAAGGTCTGTGGATTATCTTGAGTAACTGGGTCATGATTTCTAGGAAGAGAAATTGCTGCTGAGTTTCTCAAATCTATTTTTTTTGGTGCTTTGAGCACCACAAGCTGAGTGCCATCTAGTTCTATTAATTCAAGGGAAGGCAGACATCTCTACAGCCGCTATCTCAACACTCAGAAACTCACATCCAAACAATCTAGACTGATAAATAGCACTACAGGTGAGAGGAAAAGCATGTACCTTTGATTTTGGGTGAATTGTCCCTTTAATGTACAGATTCTCCCTGAAAAAATGTGCTGAGACATGTTCTTGTGTTTCCTGTGTTTGAGATCTGTCATCTTTTCCAAGACGTACCCGTTGTTCCTGACAGGAGACAAAGGTCTGAAACCCCGGCGCCACTCCAAAGCCCAGCTGGTCTATGAACGGCGGCTCGTCCTGGGTGTGGATCTGAACTTTGATCCCTGCTTCAAACGATGTCTCGTCTGTTGACAAAAAGAGGTTAGGACATTTACAACAGGGATGATGATTTGTATGCACACATTGACCTGCATGATCTATCCAGCAGCAGTTGTTACTAATCAAATGGAGAAAAGGCTCTGCGGCAGTGGATTATTTTTCAGCCAGTGAGAGAAAAATAAGCAGGAAACAAAATCCAAAAAAAGAATCTGAGAAAAATAAACACAGGAAATTATAAAATATCATTAACTTCTATTCTTACTTGAGCTGAAAAGATGCAATCCTAAAAAGTAATTGCTTATTCATTAGTTACATCTATGGACTTCCAGGGATGACAAAACACACTGTGATTTTTCTGAAGTTAACAATAGCTGCAATGAGGAGTGAAAGGACAAAGAAGATGGACTTCCTAAGTAGAGCGGTGGATGACAATACGAGCCCCACAGGAGTCTTATTTACTGCAGGGGGTGACGTGAAAGTGAATGGAGAAATTAATAAATAAATGATGATGAGGATAAAAGGAAAATCAATACAGCTGACAGCTTCCTTCGCTAGTGCACTCTGCTGTATAGATTTTAAATGAAGCAGATGGGCCTCTTTGATACTGAGATCAGGGGAACGTCACAATGACATGGTGACTCAAGCCTTTACTTGTGCAAACATATTTCTATCACACGCGCAAAGACCTGGAAGTGCTTATCATGGCAATGGCAGACTGGATTCAAGAGATTTAGTCCCTTTGAGTGTTGGCTCAGGGATAAAGTAGGACGTCTGTTTCCTGCCGCCTTTCCTCCCCGCTTGTCACTCGGCATCGTTCTCTAAGTGCCAGGCATTCTCACTATTTTCAATTAAAGAGCTCAGGGATGTGGCTGGAATTCAGCATGAGGGCTTCGACAAAGAGCGACAGACTTTAACTGTTGCACATTGCTCTTCTGAGACGCCATACAAAGCCATCTTCTGTCGCTGCCAAGACTAATGCTTGAGGCTTGGAGCAGCAAAATATACATAAGTAGTGCCCAAGCTCCTGCTTGCACAAGCGCATGTCATCTTTAAGTCATGGCCATCTGTCATCCTCATACAATTGGAATAATGATTCAGGTTGAACCTTGGAACCAAATGCAAACTTGATCACATTTGACGCTGCACAAGCTGCCTTGAAATGATTTCAGTGCCTAGTTTTGTTGAGAAGTAATTTCAGGTATTCAACAATTACAAAGGAAATGTCTTGAAGGTCCAGTGTGTGGAGGATTTAGGGGAGTATATTGACGGAAATGTGTTCTAATATAATAAAAATGTTTTCTTTCTTTCCAAGCCAACAGATGCGCGCACAGTATAATGCAACAGTTCAGTCATTTGATTTGAAAAAGAAATCGATTAAAGCAGCTTTGAGCTGATACGATTCCGTTCGCGTTGATGGATAAACGTCAGATCAATGGATCAGCTGTACAGCTCCCAGCTCATGTCCACTGTCTCTCCAGCAGGCAAAACACATGGTAAAATATTATTCCGTCTACTGCTCAAACACCAAGGAGAATACAGAGATTTTTAAAAAGCCTGAAAAATATTTCCCCTCGAGGTCTGACTGGGTATTCAAGTATTCAAAATACTACATAAAAATACATTAATTAATCAAAATTATAAACTTTCAATACATTTAAACTTGTCTGTATTTACTTGTATTTTTGGCACCCTTCTGTGTGGAGTTTGTGTGTTCACTCCGTGTCAGCGTGGGTTTTCTCCAGGCGCTCCAGCTTCCTCCCACAGTCCCAAGACATGCAGGTTAATTGGTGACTCTAAATTGTTCGTAGGTGTGAATGTGAGTGTGAATGGTTGTCTGTCTCTATGTGTCAGCCCTGTGATAGTCTGGTGACCTGTCCAGGGTGTACCCCGCCTCTTGCCCAGTGTCAGCTGGGATAGGCTTCAGCCCACCCCAACAGGATAAGTGGTTACAGAAAATGAATGTTTTCTTTGGTGTGTAATCACCTGGAAATAAGAATTGGGTTTTTGTTGCCATTTATATCTACATAGGAAGCATGTCCTTGTCTATGGAGATCACCATAATGCACTGCCATGTTTCCACAGTTGCTTGAAACAGCCAAACCAAACACTGGCTCTGGATAGCGCAATTTGTATTTTCACATTGGCCACCATAGTTAGCAGCCCCTCTGCAACAAGCAGCGTCAGAAAAACACAGATTTTTTTAACATTAGAGTGCTTTAATTGGTGTTTTTACTGATTTTGATCAACTGGTTCATTTGTTTGGGAGAGGAAGAAGTCACAGTAAAAACCTTTCTGAACGTCTGGACCTTAAGTTATCAGAGAAGGCTTGTCTCCAACATGCCAAACAGCATAAACGGAAACTGATTTGTAACATGAAGCTGCTTTACTCAATGTTTTTACCACTTTAAATCAACTGGTCTGTCTGTTTTGGAGAATAAGAGACCTCTGTGGATAAAGGTGCAAACTTCCTAAACAACGGACACTGAATGAATTCTAACCAGGACAAGTTTCAGCTGGCTGCAGTCTGCAATCCTCACTGCTTTACACCTCTAAATCTCCCTATATCTTACACACTGTTCCTTTAAAAAACAGTCGATATAACATGGAGACATACTGTTGCTATGGTTTTAACAAGAAAATCATATGCTTATATCAGCTTATCATCAGTTACAGACTGCACAGAAGCTAATTTTAAATGTTATCAAACGACACCATCACACCTGCCCACTCACATTTTCCTGGATTTCTCTTTTTATGCCTCATGCTGAGCTCTCTAGGTACTGTTTGATCAGCAGAGGCCCTCCGCGGCTGCAACTGTTGCCTCACTGCATGAAGGGTTTAACACCGGCTGTGAGGAGTTTGCACGTTCTCCTCATGTTTGCCTGGGTTTCCTCTGGTTGCTCCTGTTTCCTCCCTGAACACGCATGTCATGCAAAGTTAAAACTCTAACTTGCCTGTATGTGTGGAAGTGAGCAACTACACGTGTTCGGCAAACACTCTCATACACTGACGACACGTCCTGGGAATAACCTGCCTTTCACATAATGCATGCTAGGATATGCTCCAGCCCCATGCAACCCCGACAGAGATAAGTGGGTATAAAAAATGGATGAAATATCCAGGATACTCAGCTACTTGTTTAGACCTGGGGCCTCATTTATCAACCACGCACACTCACAGTTTTGTGCTTCAACCACGCACACACTCATTTCTATACACAGGATCTGATTTATTAATTTTTCCTTGTGCTTAAAGGAATACTTCACCTACAAAATGACCAGATGTACTGTATATCAATTAGTCATGCCGTGCTACCTTGAATTATGAAGAAAGCTCTGTTTTTCTCTCATGCCTCCACGGAAAATGACGAACATATTGATTTATTGATTTAATGGGGTTCACTTCTAACAACAGCAAAACTATAACATCCGTTGAGAAACTCTCACACAACTCGTGCAGTAAAATCCAAGTCTCATTTATCTAGTCGTAGGCTCAGTGCTTCCCAAACACAGTTTAAAATCTAAAGGTGAAACTTATCTACGTTCTCTTCAAATCCAGACTCCACCACTGAATAAATGAGGCCTGGATTATACTGCATGAGTCTGTAAATAGATGGTTGGATATACAGTAGTTTTGCTGTTGTTACACATGATCCCTAGTTAATCAATATGTTTGCTATTTTCTGTGAGGCATCATTCCTGAAGACATTTTTATTTAGGAGACAAGGTAATCACTTCTTTCCGAGTTCAATTATGCCTTTAATGACTCTATTTCCACTGGTTACGCTAATACTCCATTACTGAGCACCTGTGGAGGCAAAAGACATCCAGAAGATCTGTTGATGATGTTTCATTTAAACAAAATTAGCATTGTTTTGCTGAAACTCTTAAAAATGGCAATATTTAATAGGCGCATTTAATTTAATTTACAAACAATTTTTTACACTGACAAAAAATACAAATGCAACTCTTTCATTGGTTTAAATAAAAGATCTACGATGTTTTTATGCACACAAAAGTCATATTTCTCTCAAATTTTGCACACAAATGTGTTAAAATCCGTGTTAGTGAACACTTCTTTTTTGCCAAGACAATCCATCCACCTGACAGGTGTGGCGTATCAAGATGTTGATTAAACAGCATCATTACTACACAGGTGTGCCTTGGGGTGGTCACAATAAAAGGCCACTCCAAAATGTGCAGTTTGATCTTTAATAAGGACATTTACTATTTATTAGACACTCTGAACTATACATTTACATGAATAGGGCTACAGATAAGCAATTTCTGTCCCCACTGGATTCATTCGTGAGGAGAACACTTCTCCAAAGTGCCAGACGTCATCGATGGTGAGCAGTTGCCCACTCAAGTTGGTTGTGATGATGATCTGTCGTCAGGTCAAGACCCTGGTGAGGACAACAGTCACGCAGATGAGCTTCCCTGAGGCAGTTTCTATCATCAGGGACCTCGGCCTGGATTGAAGAACACTTGACCCCAAAGTAGTTTATTTGATGAGTATGAACACTTTGGTCAATCCGTGTATGGTCTTAAGTACAGTTAACGTGTAGAGACAGCAGAGAGCTCTGTGTCCCACTGCAACGGTTCCTCTTCCAGCTCAGAGCAGAGCTTTGCCTCGCTACTCCACTGGTCCCCGCTGATGACAAACCCCAGTACAGCAGAGTCCGTCTGTGGTGCCCATTTCTTCACTGTAGCACAAAAAAACGCCATATAGCCTAGATAATGACGCGAGTGTACTCAGGTACGGAACAACACTTCTAATATGTCACACCTGGTATTAAGAAACGCCCTAACAGTTTGTGCAGACATTCTTTGGTTTTGCAAGGCAATTATTGCATCAGCTGCCCGTTGGCTGCTCACAGATGATCTTACAGATGGGGACCCTGGATGTGGATGTCCTGTACTGGTGTGGTTACATGGGGTCTGCAGATGTTAGGACTATTGACTGTACTGCCAGATTCACAGAAACGACATTGGAGACAGCTTATGGTAGTGAAATCAACATTCAATGCACGGGCAACAGCTCTGGTGGACATGCCTGCAGTCAGCATGCAAATGGCACACTCCCTCAAAGCTTGCAACATCTGTGGCATTGCCCCATGTGATCCAAGTGTACGTTTTAGAGTGGCCTTTATTGTGACCATCCCAAGGTACACCTGTGTAGTAATGATGCTGTTTAATCAGCATCTTGATATGCCACACCTGTCAGGTGGATGGATTATCTTGGAAAAAGAGAAGTGCTCACGAACACACACTTTAACACATTTGGGACCAAAATTTGAGAGAAACAAGTCCTTTGTCCTAGATCTTCAATATAAAAAGCGAAAACCAAAGTGTTGCAGTTACATTTCTGTTCAGTGTATATTAAAGTGTTTTTGTGTCCAATGTTTATTTTGTGCAAGTCTTTATTTAACTGTCAATCACCTGCCCAATACTGTGTCTTCATTCATTTATCTCTGGACAAGCCTCTTGTGGAGGTGTCAAACAAAACAGGATGGTTCAGTGTACTTTTCATTTACAGCTGTATTGATCTCAGATTCTACGCTACGAGAACAGTAATGGAGAGAAAGTTAATTTGCTACTTTTGTCCAAGTAGCTCTTTTGTTAAGGCTACAAAGTCTTCCAGAGGAAAACGCTGACCATATTTGGTATTCCTGGTGTACGTCTATATGTAAATGAGCCGGCACCTGAAGGAGAACATGGATGAACAAGTTAGATTCATCACTGTTCATTGTGTGAAGCTGTGCGTGTACATGCTTGATAAATACCAATCGTCTTGTTCTTACGGACAGTTCCTACGCACACGTTCAGAACTTACATGCTTTGATAAATGAGGCCCCAGGTGTTTGAACTGGCACATTATGCATTGCACGGCATCCAGCCAAATTAAACAAACAGCTACTTAATGTTGTTATAAGAGGAATAATCAATGGCCAGTCTGCATCATTTTGACATTAATGACAAAATCAACCAACTAATAGAAAAATATGATGATAACATAAACAATAAAATAACGCAAAAATAAATTAAATAATGAAAAGTGAATAAAGTATATGACTGCGTATGAACTGTAGTTGCTGCATCCTTAGGTTTGCACCACATCCCCTCTTGCAAAAGTCTTTAATCATTAATTATATTACATAAAGAGCATTACATATTAATATCATTAAATCATTTAGGCTTGGAGAACATGCAGCTTTATATTTAAATATTAGAGTCGCAGCTTTGTGTTTCATGTTTAATGATGATCGTGTGCAGAGTGTTTCTGTGACCATACTGAATTGTCTCTTTACATTCATCGCATGGTGCATATAAAATATTGATATAAACACACAGCAGCATATGCAGCCGCATTTAAATCAAAGTTTCAGGGTCTCCTGCAGTGGCGCGGAGATGTGCGACTCTCGACTGCCTTGATGAGGGGTCAGCCCTGGATGGAAGAGCCTGTAGCCTCCATTGATTTTGTATCAGGCAAATGGCTCTGCTCCTGTTTGATTCATGTGGATGTGAAGCCTAACTGACAAGTGATGCAATTATATTACAATGAAATAAAGTTTTCCTGATCAATATCTATCTGTCTTTATACAGATTAGTCGATAACATCCCGTGGGCACGGCAGGTGCATTTCAAATGATCATAGCGTGTGTTTTTCAGGATCATCACTCATAATTCATTAAAGTGTTGGGAATATTTCATATTTCAGGTGCATAACCTAGCATAAAATTGCTAAAGATAGAACATGTCTTTAACCTATTTGGTCTAAAGTACGCACATGTTCACTACACTAAATGGATGTAGGGATTTATAATGCATTAATAGCGCTTGCATTGAGTGTGTAACACGGACCATCAGGCATCTATCACTGGGATAGTTTTTCCTCCACCAACACTGAAAATAACTTTGGCCACTTTAGTGTTCAATTGATTGAAAAAAATCTCTTTTCAACTCAAAGTCCTCGCTTAAGGGTAAACAGAAATACCAATCTTGTGGATTTTTAGCTGAGGTCTTCAAAAATGGGAATGGGGTGTTTCGTGTGATGTATACTCCAGGTGAGCTTACCAGTCTCTCCCCACACAGGCAAGTATTCATCCTGCTGGATATCCAGCATCAGCTCCAGGCCGTTGCCCATTCCACCCTTCATCGTCACCAGGAGGGGTCGTCCATCTTGGCCTGAATTGAAAGTGTAGCACTTTCCATAGCGCGTGAATATCTGAAAAACACAAAGACAGAGATTTTAGCGATTCACGGCCAAAACAAGACGACAGGAGAAAAAAGCACCACTTAAGGCTGCATCTCAATCCTAACCCTAAGGTGAAAATCTCAGTTTGCAGGTGTAGCTATAATACCCCTTAAAAAGTGGAACTAAAGGTAGTGCAGAGTGGAGGATTGTTTGCAAAGCAGCTGAAAAAAAGCACCCAACAGGAACCCCTTCTTGTTACGCTGTCAGCTGCAGACCTCAGAGGTCTTAGTGTTGAGATGCTGTTGACAAACCGAGTCCTCACCCCTCTCAGTGCTGCATGATACAGTATGTGCTCGACTGAATATGACATGACTTTTATTTCGGAGTGGAATATCCTCACACACAACAACAACGACGGCTGGCATCAAAGTAAATCCTGCAAAAAGTGGTTTAAGTTCTTGTCAGAACTCCTGATACACAGTAGGTAAACATTTTAGTAAATGTAATTTCTGTTTTCAAATAAGGTGCAATAATTATCATCAGAGCCGAAACAATTACTCAATTAATCAGTGAGGTGGGTGACAGAAAATTAAACAGCAATTACTATAAAATTTCAGTCATTTTTTAGGCAAAGTGCAAAACATTCACTGGTTTCAGCTGCTTAACTGTGAGGACTTTCTGTATTTCTTTTCCATATATGACAGTGAACTGAATATTTTTAGGTTTTGGACCATTAGTCTGATAAAACAAGTCATCTGTAAGTGTCATCTTGGGCTCCAGGAAATTAAAATGGTGATCTGTTCACTATTTTGTGACACTTTTATTGACCTAAAGGTGATTAATAGAGTCAGAAAGTAATTATCAGATGGTTCGCTTATGAAACAAATGTTGTGCCGCAGCCCTAATTAAGCCCATCACGATAACTATTATAGTTGGGCGGTACATTATCCAAGAAATAATTGCGATAAACACTATTGCCATTTTGATACAATTTTATGCCACTGATATAATTATAACAGCATAATAATGCTTGCAAATTCAGTATGTGATCAGTTAATGTGAAGATAGCTCTTTGTAGAGCATTTTGTAGACCGCTTTATACTGCCCACTTACAGCACTTCTACTGTATAGGAAGAGCAACACGCAAATAATGATATATATAATGATAATAATGATGGAATGAGACTGCTTCTTAAACCTCCATGATGGAGTAGTGCCAGCCAAATGTCGGCAAATGTTGGTGTGCCTACCTGCCCTGCCTTCATATGAAATCTTATATATCGATACATGTGCAGTCTCTGTCTCAGAAAATGGCATCATCCAGGTCTTGGCCTACCCTGAGCTGACCTCAGTCAGGTTTCCATTGAGACTGTGGGGCCACTGGCTCTCCAGCTTGTTTGTGGATGCATCTTATTGAATAATTTCTTTTTATATCAACTTGCATAATGTAGTGTTGGGTATTTGTTGTCTCTTTGTATGTGGTACACTATGGACCTTTTTCTGTGCCCTTAATAAAGCCATTACTATTATCATAATAATAATAATAATAATAATAATAATAATAATAATAATAAGTGCACCCTTTCAAAGAGGAATGAACTTTTCGACCAGAAATGACGGCAAAACATGTCTCAACATAATTTGTTTCTGGTCATTCGGCTTAGGCACTGCATCCAAGTCTTGAAATATTAGGGAAAAGCCTGCTGTTTATTCTGGCCATGTTGGCTAAAATTTTAGTGACATTCTTATACAAACAAACACACATGTAAACACAACTGACAATATCATATGGACATGATCTCAATCATTTTTGCCGACCTCGATAAGTCAGTAGCTCTTATCATCATCAAACACAGCTGCAGCTAATGAGCACTGACACTACTGATCAATCAGCAGTTATTTTCAGGATTAATTGACTGGTCTGTAAAAATGTCAGGAGATAGTAAAACCCCATCATATACCGCAGCTGAGTTGTGTTAATGTCGTGATTTGTCTGCCCTGACACACCAAGCTGACAGTCGGCTGTTGGTCAGTGTCGGGCTGTCTGTGAGCATCTGCGGCCCTGGTGTTTGCGGTGTGTCCCACACAACTGGCACTATTTGCCCCTTGTCAGCTGTTTTTTAGCCGATTTAGTATGTTGAATCAGCATCGGAGATGGTGAAGCCCAAATCACTGATTGGCAGTTCAGCTCAGTGCAGGAGAAGAGGAAAAAGAAGTGAGGACAGTAAACAATTTGCTTAAGTCAGGAGGGAGAGAGATCAAACAAACTTGTCATATTAGGTAAAATCATTTTTTAGCCATTGAACTCTTTAGCAGGAACATTTCGTAATTGGGTTTTGCTCGCCTTGACATTGTTCTTTTGACATCAGTTTGTGTTGTTAATGTGCCAACTGGCTAATGTCTTGAATCCATCCTGTCAGTTTTCTGGTTTCCCTTTTTGAATGACAAAAACAGACTACTGCCGCCTGCTGCTATGGAGTTATTTCCTCTCATGCTGGTGCAGAATGTACCTGCTGGTTCGACATTGGCTGAGACACAGGTGATGTGAGGTCTTCGTCATCACCAGTCCTTTGATGTTGGTTTAGTGTGCCTGGCATTAAAACTTCAAAACCTAAAATACTCAGTTTATTATAATAGAAACCAACAAAACCAAATAAGATATTTATTTCTGAGAAGCTAGTCTGTGAATTTTTGGTATTTTTGCTCACAATGGACTGATTGCTTCAGCTGTAATCAAATGATCACAGAGTGTACTCTTTTTCTCTCCCATCTAGATTCAAAGCATCTTGAAAAAAAAGCAGGAGAACAGATCAAGCGAGCTCAACATGCTTCAGTTCCACTTTTATCTCCACAGTATGACAAAAATCTGCAGATGCAACTTGGAGTTCAATGAACATGGCATGGCCTTGTCAAATCCAGACAATACCTGCCCTCAGATCGCATGCCTGAAGTGTGTTCTGTCTTATTAGTGGATCAGGCACATACTATACTGGGGCGCTACTATAGAGCCCATCGGAAAACTGTGATCTATTGGCAAAGACGTGATTGCCAGTGAACTAATGGATGTGTAATCGAATCATGGACATTAGGAAATGGAAAGCCATGGCCAGGATCCAAAATAAAATGTCCCTCTGCGTTGTTGTGGAGCCGTATGAATGCGAAGCCTGTATCAAAGCATCCTAGCTCACAATTAGCTTATTATTAACCTTCAACATTTTGACATTCATATGAGGAAATGGTAAAAGGAAGTGGGGGAGGGGTTTGTCAAAGGAGAAGAAAAGTAATACTGGAATAAGTCTCCCCCTTTTTGTCCTCCACTCTTTGTCTAATATTGTACTCCCAACATACAATAGAGAGGCTTCATTGTGAGATAGTGGTACAAATAACTTCATCACAACACATAGTTTGTACAAAAGGGTTTTTTTTATAGCTAAGACTCCCTAAGAATGTTGCTTTATTTCCTTTGAATGCACTGTGAGGACCTTGGAAGCACACAAGGAGGCGTTTATTACATGGCTGACTTATGAGTCAGACATTAGCACTACATGACAAATTACTAAAATGTCACAAACACCAGATGCACAGAGCTGAAAAGAAGAAAAAAAAAATGCAGCCATGTCTCAACAAAGGAAAAGTTAGCATAATGTGAATCCTGTTCAGTGAAGTGTGCGGGAAAAAATGGAGCGGGAATCACAATGGATGGGCCTCCCAGGGTGCGCCTATATGGAAGCTTTTCCGGCACAAAGTGGTGAAATGTAATAAAAAGCCTTCTGATATGTGGACACAATATGAAATGTGACCTTTCAAGTGCGTAAGTAGAAAAACTGAGTCAAAAACAGTGCCCGCAACACCCGCCTATGTGCAGTGACTCCCAAGCAGGATACAAACATCAATAAAATGTCCCTGAAATCCATCTTAGTCCTGGAGTCGCCTCTCACCATAATCAGATCACTGTTTTTCGTTACTCTTTGGAATATAAGGCAGGGAATACTAGACACCACCTGCATGAGCTGCACAAGATATCTGATGGTAAGAAGGGGAAAAATCCTGCAGAAAATAAAGGGTCTCTGAGAGTTTAATACACACAGATTCTCCCCATGAAACTCTGCAGAAGCCAAACCAACCGTATTTTACTTAAAGATCTAAAACCAACCCATCAAAAGACAATTTCTTTCCATGGTTTTACCCTTTCAAAGCTTATTCCACTATTATTCAGAATTTGACACTGGTCATGTAAACAGCTGATTTGTTGGTATATTCCAAATCTAGCATTTTACAATCAAGGCATGTTGGTTTTATGAGCATTCTTTGGACAACTATACAGCGCATTCAGAATATGTGTCTCAGCTGACCCTTCGCTAAGTCCTGCCCCTGGATGCAGACTGGCTAATCATAATGTAGCATCGGGCCGGCTCAGACCAGTCTGACAACAACACAGCTGTGCTCCATTGACTCTGATGCAATTGTTTCATATACTCATATACTCGTTACCTGGAGAGGTTGGAAAAAGATATACGTTTCTTCCCTGATCCAAAACCAAAATCAAACTCTGAAAAGTGTAGGGTTAGCTAGCTAGCTACTGAAGATATGATATAGCCTACTGAATGTATACACATGCTGCTTTTGCTTTTTAATGATTATAACAGTGAAAACAAGACCGACCCTGCTGTACAGGAACCAGTGAAAGGAAGCAGGCAAACTTTGCTGATATTCAACCAGCTCTGTGTCAGCGCACTGTGTGCAGATAAGCGTTGTTTGACCTCCCCCGGAGATCCCTGCCTGTCTGGCCAAACACTGTTCATCTGCACACACTGCGATGCCACACAGCTGGTTCAGTATCAGCAAAGTTTCCCATTATATTCATTGTCTTCTGTGGCGATCAGCAGTGATGTGGTGGTTCACTTTTACACTGTGATCTGTAGCCTATAGTTCGGCTTTAGCTTCTAACTATCTTTGTCTTTTTAACCTGTTGTTGCTGCTGAGTCAGTTTGACATCCTGGATATATCCTTCAAACACAGACTGTAGACCC